AATTATCCGATGCCGTTATTATTCCCTCCTGCGACTATCGGTTTTTAGCTCATCATTGAAACTACAGCACGCACGCGCACGTGTTATGTTGATTCTACTTAAAACGAAACTAGGGCAGTAGATTAAAGGGCACCGACAGCAATTACACAAAAGGGCAAGGCAGGTGACTGCCGTCGGTCGGGTTGGATTTTCACGGGCAGTACGGCGATTGATAGGGGCACCGACGGCAATTGCCGTCGGTGCCGTCGGTTAATTCGAGCCCTGTACAACACTAAACTCCTAATCGAGTAATTTATTAACCTTAATGACTACCTCTATTCACTCAATGATTCTATGCTCTCATTTATCTCTACATTCATTCGTCTATACACTCATTCATCTATACACTCATTCATCTATACTGTCAATCATCTCAGTACTCACCTTCACGTCGTGAGTCGTGATCGGATGTGTCTGTGTTAACACTCGCTGTGTTCTTGCTCTGACATAGACGCTGCTGCTGCTGCTGCTGCTGCTGTGATCGGATGTGTCTGTGTTAAACCGCTGTGTTCTTGCTCTGACATAGACGCTGCATGCTGGCTGCGCTGCATGCATCGTGATCGCTGTGTCTGTGCGTTAACACTCGCTGTGATTTTGCTCTGACATGAGACGCTGATGCTGCTGCTGCTGGCTTGCTGTGATCGGCTGTGTCCTGTGTTAACAACATCGCGTGTGTTCTTGGCCTGACATAGACGCTGCTCGCTGTGATTCGGCTGAGTGTCCTGTGTTTAACACACTCCGGCTGTGTCTTGCTCTGACATAGACGCCTGCTGGCTGCTGCTGCTGCTGCTGCTCGTGAATCGGATGTGTCCTGTGTTAATCACTGCGCTGTGTTCTCTTGCTCGACATAGACGCTGCTCGCTGCGTGCTGCTGCGGCTGTGATCGAGATGTGTCTGTGTTTAACGACTGCGCTGTGTCATTGGCTCTGACATAGACGCTGAGCGCTGGCTTGGCTGCTAGGCTGCGTGATCGGCTGTGTCATGTGTTAACACCTCGCTGGTGTTCTTGCTGTGACATGAAGACGCTGCTGCTGCTGCTGCTGCTGCTGTGAATCGGATGTGTCTGTGTTAAACACTCGCTGTGTTCTTGCTGTGACATAGAGCGCTGCTGCGCTGGCTGCTTGCTTAGCGTGATCGGGTGTGTCTGTGTTAACACTCGCGTGTGTTCTTGCTAGTGACATGAGACGCTTGGCTGCTGCTGACTGCTTGTGACGGATTGTCTGATGTTAACACATCGCTGTGTTCTTGCTGTGACATAGTACGCCTGCTGAGGGCCTGGCTGCTGCTGCTGCTGCGCTGATGAATCGGTGTGTCTGTGTTAACAGCCGCTGTGTTATTGCTGTGACATAGACGCCGCTCCTGCTG